AACAAAGCACACACAGCCAAAGATACGAGGTGTTAATGGAAAGGAAGACAAGGTGGGGAACAAGATAGAGAAGGGAGAGCGACCATGAAGAATAAAGGAGGGCATCCGATTAATGAGGAAACACGCAGTAAGTACAGCATCACTCCAAAACCGTTTAGACCATTCAAAGGGATAATTTGCATCAGAATAATCATATTCTCAGCACCCATACCAGCTGTACCACGGGTTGATGTAACCCCAGATGAAGCTGAATCATCTGTTTCCATATTAAGCAGGTTCTACAAGTCAACAAGAACCACTGATGCACATAGAAATATGTCTCCACCCTATTTCTACCACCCAAAATACAAGTAGGGCACAAAACACACACCAATCTGCCTCCTAGAATGGAACACCACTGCAGAAACAACACTACCAGCAACTAACAGACCCCAAAACTCAATCTTCAATCACCATTAGGCCACACAAGGTACACATCAAAAAAGACAGCACATACCTGTCATGAGGGAGCCACACAATCCCTATACAGCACCTGTACAAAAGTAACCAGAACACAAATACAGCCTCCACAGCATCAGCTGTCACCAGCTAGGGTTTCCTTGGTGTTACGACCAAGGAAGAACCCGAAGAAAACACAATCAGACTATTATGACCAGTCTGATTGGGTTCTTTCACTTTACAGTTAAATAAAACAGAGATTTGGATGAGAAGAGATGTTATTCTGAGAAAAAAAAGCCTCCTATTATGCTTTGATACCATGTTTTCTTCTAGAAAGAAGAGAACAGGAGAGGAAGAGAGAATAAGAGAAGAGAAGAGAAGAGAAGGAGAAAAGAGAAAGGCTGTTTGGGAGCCAAAACTCAGGCTGGCGGTGCCCAGCTCTCTATTATTAATGGTGAGATTAAAATAAAAATGCAGAAATTACATATTTGCCCCTGGTGGCACACCCTAATATAACAATAAATAAAAGAAACAAACAAGCTGACAGCACCCTAGAACTAACAGCAGAGACGACTCTAACAGCAGGAATAACTCTCAAACTATTCTAACACTAACCTTTGGCATTTTTTTGCAGTGGTTTCCCTTAGATCAATCCCATGTTCTCACACTTGCCAGCCTGATATTGTACCATTAGACAAAGTAATGGCTCCTTTGCATCTAAATACATATATGTCTATAAACAAATACATTATTTTCTGCTTGATTAGTTATAGACCATATCTGAAATGTAAGACTTGAGATTCAAAATGTGGTTTAACCCGCTATTAAGATCAATCGATTTAAAGAACATTTTCATAACTTAGAATATAAAGTTGGTAAAGATTCATAATAGGTAATGATATTTCCTTTTGATTTTGTGTATTTGGGTACTATTCCTCTTTTAATTGTGCTGAGATGGATGAGTGGAAAAACTATAAAGGATAGGGGTTAGAAATAAAGTAATCCAAAGGAACAAAGGAAAAGCTCCAATAGGTGATAATAAAACGAGATAAAGCAGACTAAGATGGTTTGGTCATGTTCATGGAAGACCACCTACAGCACCTGTGGGAAGGAGAAATCCTTTGTAAGTTGACAGGGTTGAAAAGGCTAGGGGAGGTTGTAGTAAGAAATGATTGAAGGACTCAATTTAACAATGGATATGGAACTAAACAGAAAGGAATGGTAAAATTGAAGTAGCAGACCCCATATAGTTGGGATAAGCCTTAGATAAACAACTGATAGATAAATTTTTCCATTTACACTAAGATCAACAACTTGATTCAAAATGATATTCAGTAAATACAGAATTGTGAAGTTGTGATCTCCCCGACTCCCCCACAAGAATAACAGATAATATCACATTCATAGAATTAGTTCAAACAAGAATTACATACTATTCGCAGCACAGGGTATGATTCTTGTCCTTTCACGAGCTTTTGTGCTTGAGCATGTTCCCATAGCTTCTGTTTGCTTGGATGAATCCTCTGAACAGCAACATGGCAGGCTTCCCTAATAGGCATCTAAGAGAAAAGGCTATGTTACCAACAACGTTGCACAATTATTTTACAAGATGCAAATAAGTTGTCCGCACATTATCAACCAAAAGGTTTTTTATTAGAAACCAAGAAATCAAAAGTGTCATGAAAAATAGGGAACATATTAAGCATATTATAGGTGTTACTGTAGATGTAATTTTTTTTTAATCAGAAACACAGAAAAGATTCATTAAATTAACAGAATGTGTACAACAAGAAGTTGTGGGTAGACAAAAAGTTCACATAAACCCCACTAATTACAACACAAACCCAAGCTGACCCAACGAAGAAATTCATTAATTACAGACAAGCCCCAAAGGATATCCCACTAGCTATAATATAGCCCAGAACATAGATTGCCTTTGACTGTAGATGTAAATATTTTGCATAGAGGATGTGTTATTAAGAGAGAGAAATGTTGTCTTCTATACTGAATCAATTTTTGATGTCATTGGTAAATAAAATATCACTGGCCAGTTGAACTTCATAAATGTTGAATGAACTTTTAACTCTAATTTTATAGCAATACTGATTCACATAATGGCAAGTTCAAGGTCATCTTCTGGAGGGTGTTAACTGCTTTAGATTCATATTTATAGCATCAATTTTAATAAACTATATCAAATATTTACTGCGATGGAATGTAAGATTGAATTATAAAAGGATCTAAGGTATGGTCAGTTCAACTAATATTCAAATTCCCCAGACTGTACACCTTATCGAACTAGGAGATGAAAGCTTAAAATTTTTCCTTCATCTATTTCAAATTCCAGTACATTTTGTGAAGATACTCTTCCAGGTGATCAACTTGATCCTCAACAACATTTCATCTGGTATTGGCCATCCTGGATTGCTGCTCTGATACCAAAGATAGAATTCGATCAAAATGAGATTCTTCTAGGGAGCACTTCCTCCGGAAATAGACTACAGAGAGAGGAAGAAGAAGAAGCTAGAGAGTAATTCAAGTCTTTCTAATTCTCCTTTATGTCTCAAGGGACCTATTTATACCTCTGTACATTAGGCTTATCATACCGGTTACCAACACATGGGGGGTGGGGGGGCTAGATTTGGTACTGACGATGTGGCCTCCTGGTGTAGACAAACATGATAGCCATAGGAGGTGCTACACGAGATACCTTCAGTGGGCTAATTATTTGAAGGCCTGGATCATGAGATGGATTAGTCTGTGTCGTCTGTGTGTGTGTGTGAGTGTCAGGGTGAATGTTTACCTCAAATAACCCCAGCAATAGGCAGTACCTTATCAATGGCAATGTGGTGTTGGATTTTAATTTTTATAAATATTAATTATGGAACGAAGCGGCTCTATGCCAACTACTACATTTCTTTCTTCTCTAATGTTTCTTATTCTTCTATATTATCCTCCACAATCAAGCACAAGTCACGACCAATTTTATATTTCTAAATTAAATTCATTTTAGATTGACAAGTAGAAACCATACCATACCAGAATAATCAATTAAAACAATTTTAACATTTTAACTTTTCATGAATGGTAAGAGTAATTTGTATTCACCTCAGTTGTTCCTTCAAAGCATGCTTTTGAATTACAAGTTGGGAAAGATGGTTGATAGATTGCAAACATGGAAAGCAAACACAAACTTACTTGCAAAACAAGGCTTCCTGAGTAATCCGCAATTCCTCCCATTACATCCAATCTACCAGGTGCCCTAGCTATGAAAATTTCCTCCTGCAAGAAAGGATATTCCCATAGTTAAAACAAATATCAAGGCGCGAAACCTTCAAAATTCCAAGGAAGAGTTGGCTATACCAATCTCAATGATTAGATTCATTATAAATTAATCTAGAAAACTGTATATGGTGGTCAAAAACTCAACAACAAACATACTTCTATATAAATTATCATAACTGAAACAGACAAGCAGAAGCAGCCTATTAATAAAATTATAAGCATTTCTCCAACATCAAAGTTAAGAAAGAAGCTCTCCCTTTACAACTATTTCTTAGAGCATTGCCATAAATACCAGGATAATCAAAGAGTCTTCAGAATTAGGTCTTCATATAGGTGGAAAGCTTCACAATAAATGGATACCAGTGGTTGAGGTGCTAAAGAAGAAACAAGCAATGCGGAAATGCAGGTAGCATTCTTTTGGAGCATGGTTTAAAATATCAACATATTTCCTAATATTTCCACTACATATATCCATTTCCCTGGATACCAACATGAAATATTATTGGAAGCGATATATTCCCCAAAGAAAACTACCAACACTATGTGGCGTACACAAGATGGGATTATAACATGAGTTGACAGTAGCATTGCAGATAATGTGGAGCATTAGTATTATTTGTTGGAAAGTAGAAGATTGACTCTCTGATTGATTCTCCATAATTTTAGGTCCATCAGTTTAGGAAACTTAATTTCCTAGAATCATGGGATATTAATTGGAGAATCCCACTGATATAGAAATTAGTTTTTTAGGAAAAGTTAGTTTCCTATTTTATCACCCTGTAAATTAGCTCTGTAATTCTATATAAAGTTGTGTATATGCTCCTTCCAAKACAATACAATCAATTCATTTTTTCTCTCAAATTTTCACATTATTGCCTATTATAAAGATGATGGCCACTTCAAGACAACTAAAATTCTTTTTGGAGTGAGGCGAAATCTCAGTTTCTGTCCACATAATAATCTTTTTGGTTGATCTATTAGAATCCTTTACACTTTTTTGTGAGTCTAAGTTTGCTCGAAATTACTCTAACATGTAGTTTGAACTAATAAAAGTTTAAAAGACAGCTTTATAGAGAATTATTTTATCTATTAACCTTAGTCCCATGGCTTTGTTTGATGGTTTGGATCAAGATAATTATATAAAAGGGTGATTCCATATTTGGTCATGGTGGTGGTCGTGACTCAGGGGGAGGCTGTGGTAAAGGAAAAAGTAACTCTACAAGGAAGTGTACCCATTGTGGCAGGGACGGACATTCGGTGAATTTTTGTTATGATCTCCATGGCCCTCCTTCTACATGGGCCAATCATGCAGTAGCTGGAGGGGTTGATGTCAATGATAACCAACAGGAACACCAACTCCTTCCACATCTACATTTGTTTCCGGGAAGGAGATGGTGAGTGTACTGCGTGATGAGTATGAGCGGTTCCTCTAGACTACTTCACAGCATACTACTGCCACCCTTGCCCACTCAGGTATAGCTTGTCTGTCATCCAAACCCTCTCCCTTGATTATTGACTCTGGAGCCTCTGATAACATGACCGGGACTCCAGGTGTGTTCTCTTCCCTCTCTGAAACTTCCACATCTCAAACTATTACCCTTGCCAACGGTTCCTCTTCTCCCATCTGTGGTGTTGGTAATGTTGACACGACTTCTCTTTCTTTATCATCTGTCCATTCAATCTTATGTCTGTCAGTAAATTAACTAAGACTCTTAATTTCTCTATTACATTTTTCCCTTCCTTTTGTGTTTTTCAGTATCTCAAGACGGGGAAGAAGATTGGTGGGGGGCATGAGGCTGGTGGATTGTATTACCTTGACGGTGGTGGACCGTCAGTTGCACTTCAGACTTCACTCACTC